TAGCAAATGTAGGTTGAAATTGATAAGGGATTGAGGTTGCACATATCACAATAATATTTGAGCCACCCAAATGCTTGCACCCCAAACAAGCATTGGACTGGGCATGATTCTGGGGCATCTCATAGAGAGCTTTCTCCTGGAGATGTGGGTATAGAATTTGGGATGGTCCAAACCTTACTGTATTGTATCCACATCCAGTTCTTTACTTTGATTCTCTTTTATTGACATGGAGGCAGTATGCTTGACACTGCCTTTTGCTCCCAGTGAACTGTAGGACTGGATGCAATTCTATGCCTTCTCATAGAAGGCACTCTTCTGGAACTGTGCACTATGATTTACAGTGTCTCCAATGTTATTTTAGGGTGCAGACAACCAGTCCCCTCCTTATACATTTCTGCATTGGATATTATTTGCACAGGATTGCCATGTTTGAGAGTGTCTTGTGCCATTGACAGGTCATTTCCGGTTTGGTTAGAACATGCCCCCTGTGCTTCGCAGAGTCCAAGAAGAGATCCCAGCAAAATTGAGGAAGATGACCTTGGTGCCAATTGGTTGCCCCGTCTGCCATGTAAGAAAGCTAGTCTTACAACAAGATGAAAAAAGAAAAAACCCTCCACCATTTTTCTTTGAGAAAAACATTACAATTTTTGTATGTTGTTTCTTATATTAGCCTGATAATTAAAACTATTTATTTTCCATTTAAAGTATGCATGTCATTTTCACTATGTTTTTGCAAAGCACACTCTGCCTATGTTCAGAGACACTTGTGCTATATTCTTGCTGGTTAGTAGAAATGATTTTCAGCTACTAACCTCAGACACACATTTATGATATCTGACACTTTATTTTCAACAGTTGATAGTCTACAGTATTTGAGAGCTGGCATGTGATGCCATTTTGTATTCCATTGCATTAATAGCTAGTATGCAATGCTATTTCATATCTGACAGCATGTGGCAGATGAGACATAGTATTTATTGTCTGACTGTGTTTAACAGTTGACATGCAATGTCATTTGCAGCCTGGCCATATTCAATTTTATTTGGATGTAAGACTGATTATTTTAATTGGCCTTACTCCCATGAATATGCAGTCCTGTGGGAGGTGGATGCTTTACTTGTCCATCTTCTATAGTATCTATTTTACTTGTCCCTCCCTTTGATTCCAATGGGAGGGCAAAGAACTACATCAGTTCTAGAGCCAGAGGCATTCTCTCTCCATTTCAGAAGTATATCAGACGCAGAGGAAGGTGTTGGCTTTTGTGAGTACACAGAATCTTCCATCCTGTCCTAAGAATGCCTCATGTTTGTGCTCTTTGATCTTGAAGTTCCAGAGAAGCACCAGCTGTTGATCCTTCCACAGCATCATTCAGAAAGATGGTGAGCTGAAGTCTCTTCTCTGAGAGCATGCTCATGTCTCCATCCTTAGAGGGGAAGATCCCAACAGTCCTAAAGTCCCTGCAATGCTCTTCCATAGGCTTAGAGTAACAATTGCATGCATATTGATACAGAAAGAAGTGTTGGAACCCCAACATTCTCCAGCCGGCATTTGTTCATGAAGCTATACTCTCATTCTCAGATGGTATCACAGTCAAAAAACCTTAAAGGCACGATCCAAAGCACATTTAGGCAAAATAAACAAATACTACACCTCCCAGAATGCCCTGGACAGCATGTCTGGGTGAAACATTCTGGAACTTGTTGTACTTTTTCTCTATAAACCTCCTTAGTTTTTTGTGCTTAGTACTTAACAGCTTTAGTATTTGTCGATCTTTGAAAGTCTTTGATCATCTTTAATCTTTGATCTTCAATTATTTTAACACCTGTCTTTAATGGCTGGCATGCAACCATGATATTTCTTTAATTTTGTTTGACAGGTCACAGTTCACGTGTTTCTTCTTTGATGCCTGCCAAAATAAAAGATGCCAACAAGTCTGAAAGGATTCCTGTCCCAAAGTTTAGTTACAGAACTTCATTTAAGATGAAAATTTGAATGTTCATATTTAAATCTGAAAAAGTAAAATCAAACATTCTACAATTTCTAATGCTTAAAAATATTTCTTTACTGTGCACTCCTCAGCCTTTTATTCTCCATTTCTCAAACCATCTTTATGGGCATTCATTCTATCATAAGATTATGTTATAGAATATGGGTCTATCATTCTATCATACTATATAGGTCTTCCTTAAGCAATGTGATAGACTTCTATTAGACCCATAACGACATAAGGTACATAGATTTCTCCCTCCTCCATTTCCGTTGTTATTCTAACAATCTAAGTGGATCTTTGGAATTATTCAGCATATTCTTCTTGGTCTTTAAATTGTAACACTTTCACCATTATCACTTGCTTTATAAGACTTTTATACCTGGAGTATTGACACTATAGTCTTTCACTGTGCATTGCCCTTGACCCTCTAAAGCCACTATTTCTTTTACCCACAACCTTCACAATGCCTTGTGTTAGACACATCTGCACAAGCTCTTATTCTTGATTAATCCATGTCCCCTCTAACTCTACTGATCAGAATTGCCTTCTTCCCATAACCCAAGGTCCTTGGTCTCTGCTAGTACCCTGCCCCTACTGCTGAGGATATAAATTTTCATTCCAGGTTTGGCATGCTGTTTTAATCCAGTCTCTAGCTTCTAAAGATTTGTATTATACAGAACAGGAATTCTTTCTTATCACTTGTCCTTAACTTGATCACAAGATCAGGGCACAATATATAGGCTATCATCATCCATAACCCCACCCCTTAACAAAATTATTTATAGATTGATTCTTGGAGCAATGTCTAATTATATCTATTCACGTCAAATATGAATGGGAATCCTGTTAGGAGTCATGAAGATTGCCAAAAGTGTTTTGACCTAAGGAGGAAGGGGAGGCTGCTATGTATGCAAATCACACCCTATATAAGTAGCCCTGGGACCAGCCTCTTATGCCCTTGCACCAGCTTGAGGTAAGAATGTGAGCAGCTTGAGTTTAAAAGGGGGTAGGATCTCACCCTGAATTCTTCACATCCCAGTACATTCCTGCAGCATTTGACACTTCTGAGCAGGGACTGCCTGTGTCAATAGGAATTTGAAATCTGCCTTCATCCATTTCTACTCTATAATTTATTACTGGACCTTTGGTAAAGCATCTGTATTTTTTATTTTGCAGTACTGGCCCGCTTGAGCCTGCATTACTGTCCACCTGATACCAACAAGGTAAGAGCCTGATTTACTAAATCCCTGGGGACAGCCAGGTGCACCCTAGGGAAGGATCTGCATGTTGATTAGTGGGCAAATTGCTTCCTCTTGGTGTTTATGAACTGTGTAGAGCTATATCATATTTATGCTGAAACTGCAATCCACGTAGCTGGAGAAAGTCAGTTAAGGTACTGGCCTTGAAGACAGTCTATGCTTTCTACCCTTTCTAATAGAATGTCTACAGTGGCACAAATCTGTAGCTCAAAGATTAAAAGGATGCTTTAGGGTACAGCCCTGCAGGCTGCATCATGTTAAACATTAATATTATTATTATTATATTATTATAACATTTCTATGCCGCCCCTTGCCGAAGCCTCGGGGTGGCTTACAACACAATAAGATACATTGAAATACAATAGAACATAATAAATAATACATAATAATGTATTAGAACATAACAATAGAACATAATAATACTGCACATGTACTAATATTGTCTACTAATAAAGGACTTAGTTCTGTACAGGAAACATCTAAAGTTGTAGGTTCCTATTTTAAATGTGGGCTTCGCAAGTTCCTTATAGAATTGCTGGAAGAAGTTCTCAGTTGCTGGCACACAGCGTACAAGAAAATGCCAAATAAGTCTTGAACTTCTACAACCCCAACATTCAAGTTTCAAGCAACACAGATTCAAGTAAATAAGTCTGAGTGAGCACACAAGAGACAGAATCTAATTTCTGGTTGATGTAATCAATTCAGTTCATTAATTATATGGGCAGAGCTAACAGAAATTAATAAATCACCTGCAATTAACATGATACTATCTAGCTACTTCAAAATTTAGAAGCCAAAAGGCTTCAGCTAAACTGCATGACAACTAGAACATTTATTCTATTTTTTACTATCAGATTACTAAACCATTCTATAACTTGCATGGATGGAAAGCTGAGAGATTCTAGCTGTACTCCTTATATAGAAGCCCTCCACTTTCATCTCCTTTCTTATACTGACCATAATGGAGAACAAACACACAAATGCACACACCTAAATCTGTGTTTGGTTTATTTGTTCATTAATTTGTTCATTTAGTCACATTTTGTTTATTGACATAATTTATACCTTACCCTTCAGCTGGAATACCATGTCTCAGGGTAGCAGGGTAGCCAACAAATAATTAATAACTGTCCCTTTGGCTTCAGCAGTTTATATAGTCCAGTGTCAGGGATACCGACACATCCCATTAGGGTTTACCATTAGGCAGGGGATTTTGAAGGTCATAAAACAATAGCACATTTATGTATGATTTATTATTATTGTAATTTTACTGCCAGAGAAAGCGACAGGTGCTTGTGGAATGTGTCTTGGGTGGCCTAACTAACGCTATAGGCATCTTGACTTGGTGGAGGGAGGCATTTGTTATTCCACTGCAGAGACCAAAAGTCTTTGGTCCTGAATCACCTGGACATTGCAGGATCTGGAGCAGTCTTCCTGAACCTGATTACTTCTAGAAATTTTGGACAACTCCCAGCATTCCTGGCTATTGCCCATGCATTCCAAAACATCCACCCCCCCCTCACTCCAGATTATGAATAGGTGAACCAGAGCATAGAAATCAGAATATAAATATTCTGTATGACTTTCCACACAAAAGCAAGACCATGCTTCAAATTAGGGGAGAGGATATGGAAACTTTTTTTCCCAAATGGAAAAGGAAACAGAAAATTGTTCAGTGGTTTCATAACATCATTTGTATCTTTCTTTTCTTCAGTATTTTTCTTTGGTGAGTGGCACATCATAAATCACAGTCATGTCTTCGGACGCTGAGATGGCAGCTTTTGGGGAAGCTGCTCCTTATCTCCGAAAGTCAGAGAAGGAGAGAATTGAAGCACAGAATAAACCCTTTGATGCTAAGAATTCTGTCTTTGTGGTGGATCCCAAGATCTCTTATGTCAAAGGCACTGTTCAGAGCAGGGAAGGAGGGAAAGTCACAGTCAAGACTGAAAGTGGAGAAGTGAGTATTAGACAAGAAATATACTTTCTCGTGATTAAAAAAAATATATTTCCATTCTAAGAGGATATAAACTAGTCTGTTCTTCCCTTTTTAGACTGTGACTGTTAAAGAAGACCAAGTCTTTTCCATGAATCCTCCCAAATATGACAAAATTGAGGACATGGCCATGATGACCCATCTCCACGAACCTGCTGTCCTGTATAACCTCAAAGAGCGTTATGCAGCCTGGATGATCTATGTGAGTCCCTTCTAGAACATCATCTTTCTGCATTGTTATGATGAAACCAGACTCGAAAATAGAGCTGCACAATCTTTGACCAGCCCTCCATAGTCAGCTTTAAGCTAAAATATACTTTTTTTTTTGCATTTGCCCCCTTTGCTTTTCATTCTGCCCCCCCCAACCCCAGATTGCACCCTTCATAATCTGCCCAATATCCTTTCCCTCTCTTACATCACAAAGCCTTTATGATGATTTTCTAGTCTGTGTCAAGTATCTAGTTTCTAATGTTACTGTGTGCCAATATTTTTCGCAGGATAGCAGTATTTTTGTGGCTAAATCCTATCCCATCTTCCTAGTGTCTTGGACCACAAGCAGGGATATGAGAAAAGTCTGCTCAAGTATTTAGGGTATTTGTATTTTCATTGCCCCCCCCCTTTTTTTTTTTTACCACATCAAGCATATACATCCACATTCTTGTCCCTGAACATCCTGCCCAAGAGGGTTTCTTAGTTTAGGACCGACTTTTTTAGGCCATGGGGGATGTTGCTGTAAAATTAACAACAGGCAAAATAGATTATGCTACATCTGTTGTTCCTCTCCTTCTGACAGACCTACTCGGGTCTCTTCTGTGTCACTGTGAACCCCTACAAGTGGCTGCCAGTGTACAACCCAGAGGTGGTAACAGCCTACAGGGGCAAAAAGCGCCAGGAGGCCCCTCCCCACATCTTCTCCATCTCTGACAATGCCTATCAGTTCATGCTGACTGGTGAGTAGAGGAACATCTTTGAAAGAGTGAACAATTTCTCACAATCTCTTCTCTGGGAAATGTGGAACCGCAGTGAAATAAGCAGGAAATAAGTAGATTAACATTATACAATTGGCTCAAAGCAAATAAGAAACTCACCTAACCATGCTAATTCACCTGCAGCCTAATTCTACCAATAAAGTTGGTTCTACCTGTCACCAAGAATGAGTATTATCGTGGCCACCTGCCACTGCCCAGCAAATATTGTAGACAAAGGCATGGCAGCTTCCTGTTTTACTTTTTTCTCTTGAGAATAGATTATTGAAACAAATTTTCACAAGAACTACCTATAAATTAGCATGCACTTGCATCAATTTCCAATTTTTGGAAGTAAAGTGAGTGGCATCTAAACAGTCTGGACTTGAGCTGCATGTATTTTGCAGGTAAACACCATTTATAGACATGCCCACAATAAAAGGCCTACTTGATGCACATAAATTTTGCGTACTGGGGCCAGTTTCTGAGGAAAAATATAATTCCTAATGAATAGGTGGGGGTCCTATTGATGCATTACACTTGTACATTCACACAGTAATTTCTCACATGCAGAAATATATGAACTAACGGACATAATAATTCCTGTGATGTGACAGCTTATATTAAATTTCTACATACAAGCAAATTCCCATGGAGAGGAATGTGTGAGCTATTTTTTAGAGAAAATATGTGCTATGAAAATACACCCTGGGTTCCTAGTCCTGGTTATTTGTCCACTATGGTACATGTACAATTATGTTTTATTCCTAAAGGTTTAGAGCACATAACACTTACATATTGAGTCTGTTCGCTGTCATCATAGTTTTATCAATTTACCATGTGAAGCAAATCAACCATATATTTTCCGAATTATAATTCTTTTTAAAGTGTACCAAAGAAGCGGCAGCAGATAAATCAGATCAGTTTTAGATACATTAATATAATCTTCCCAGATTATTTTTATTGCTTAGATCATCATTGTCTAATTATTTCCTGATTATAGTTTAAATTATTTAATTCAATTACTAATGAATATAATTATAGAAAGTGTGTGTGTGTGTGTGTTTGTGTGCAGCTATCAGAGGCTATGTCATTCTACAGTAAAATTAAAATTCTGTGCCCAGGCAATCCAAGTTCTACATCAAATTTTCCATTATATATTAAACAATAAGAAATTTTAATTAATGTGCATATTTCCTTTTATACTGCATATTTTATTCCAGTTTTGCTACTCATAGGGAGAAGCAAAGACTATTAAGAGAATTCCTGTTTAGGGCATTCAGACTTGCCTCATGAACTTTCAGCCTAGCTTCTCTAACTTCTTGGTTTACACACATTCAAGCAAATCTTTGTAGCTATAAGGATTACAGACTTGCTTTAAAAAGACACCTTCAGAAGACTACAAAATGATTCTTAGGTAACTGCATTGTATGTCCATTACCAAATTCTGTACTATTGCTGTTCCACTTCACACACACAATGCTGTCTTTACAGTATGCATTTGTTACTTACTATGCCCTTTTCGTATGCAAGGTGCTCACCAGTTGTATGCAGTTAGACCATGAACACCTTTGTTCAGAATTAAATCCTGCTGAGTTTAATGGGGCTGTTTCTCTTTTCCAGATCGTGAGAACCAGTCAATTCTGATCACGTAAGTCTGTTTCCATACTGGAATTTATGCTGTCTTTGTGGAATATTACTGGCTGACAGTCATACTAATTTGTCAACACACTCTTTCCATTTCCTTTCCTTTGAAGAAAGAAGCAAGTTGGCAAGAGAAACAAGGAATAGGAAAGGAAAGAGTTTGTTGACACAACTGTTACGATTTAAATGTCTCTAGGGTATATTCCTTGCAATCTTGGCATTCTTAGTTTTTTCTGTTGTTGGGTTATTGATTATGTAAGGCTTTGACCTCTATGGACAATGCTTATTTTTATACAGCAGGGGTGCATTACCTTTTAGCAGTAATTGTCGCATCTGATGCTAACTCTGGAATTGGGTTCATATCTTGCTTGTGCACATGCGTACACATGCACATGCATCACAGTAATTGTGATACAGATTGCAGTTTCCTTCCTATTGTCAGCAGTGGGGGAAAAACAACCTGTATCAGGGTCACAGAGGAAGGCCTTCCCTTCACCCCGCTCTCTCAGTGATCCTTGTTCAGATTGTTGCTTCCTCACTGGCAGCTGTGGCAGGAAAAGGACAATATCTGCAAAGCATGATGGTGGGTGGAACTGGGCAGCTTTGGAGTGGTGCTATCCCAGAGTGGGAGGCTGCACGCCTATTGCAGACCACAGTTTATGCATCCCTGCTGGTATAAAAGGAGGGCTATCTAGTTGGCCAACCTGCTGAGCAGAATGGGGGCTTTCTGCCTGTTCTTATTTAGCAAAATAAGGGACAGGCTACACATTAATATTCTGCCTAATCTTTGGCCAATAGCGGAGAATCTGGTGCTGGAAAGACTGTGAACACGAAACGTGTCATCCAGTACTTTGCAACAATCGCAGCTACAGCTGATAAGAAAAAGGACGAGCCAGTCCAACAAGGCAAGATTCAGGTGAGCTTTTTTCCAGCAAACAGAGTTGTGATGTTGAACAGCTTTTATATGATTGAAGATATATCATCTGACAATCATGTTTTCCTTGCAGGGCACCCTCGAGGATCAAATCATCAGTGCCAACCCCTTGCTGGAGGCTTTTGGAAATGCCAAGACTGTGAGGAATGACAATTCTTCACGTTTTGTAAGTTTTATGCAGAATCTGAATGCAGTACTTCCTCTTTATATTTGTTAAGTATAGAGCCTTGTTATATAGCAACTCAGTAAGCTTCTAGTATAATAAAAGCTATGTACAATATGCATCCTCTAGAATTTGTAGTGATATGCCTTCTCTTTTTTTAAAGGGTAAATTCATCAGAATCCATTTTGGTGCCACAGGCAAACTGGCTTCTGCAGACATTGAAACATGTAAGGGCCTCCTTCCTTCCTTCCTTCCTTCCTTCCTTCCTTCCTTCCTTCCTTCCTTCCTTCTCCCTCTCTGGTTATGTCTTTGCTTGTTTCTGCTTCTTGCAGATCTCCTGGAGAAGTCCAGAGTAACTTTCCAGCTGAAAGCTGAAAGAAGTTACCACATCTTTTATCAGATTATGTCCAACAAGAAGCCCGAACTGATTGGTAAGAGGTCCATCTCCTACAGTTCCCGTGGCAACTGCTGAGTAACACACCTGACTTCCGGTTAAATGTTTGCATTGATTACATACCAGTTTGATGAAGCTAGATCCATACTGCTATTTTTCTTCATTCAGAAATGCTTCTGATTACCACCAACCCTTATGACTACCATTATGTCAGTCAAGGGGAAATCACTGTTCCCAGCATAGATGATCAGGAAGAGCTGATGGCTACAGATGTAAGTAACACAACCAAGTAAGTTTCCGCTGTATTAGTTTAAAGTCATAGAAAGAATATTCACTTACACATCTTGATTTGATTGTTAGAGTGCCATTGACATCCTGGGCTTCAATGCTGACGAAAAGACCGCCATTTACAAGCTGACTGGTGCTGTGATGCACTATGGGAACATGAAGTTCAAGCAGAAGCAGCGTGAGGAGCAGGCTGAGCCAGATGGCACCGAAGGTATTTGCACAATTTGCAATGGAACCGTCAGTAATGCAAAGAACCAAAAAGCCCCCTAATCCTCAGCTGCTTCTTTCACTTGAACAGCTGAAACTGAATGCATAAAAATGAAATCCTGAGGCTGAAGTCCTAATACATGTACCTGGGAATAAGCTGCACTGCACTCAGTAGGGTTCACTTCTGAGGAGTCATGTATAGGATTGCACTGTTATTTATATGTATGCTTCACTCTCTGGGACGAGGCAGGATTTTTTCAAAGCAGAGTGGATGCACAAATCTGATGGCTTTCTAGCATTCATAGTTCTTCCAAAGCCAACACACATTTCTTTTCCCTCTTCTATATCTTATGATGGCAGATGCATAGCTCATTAAGAGCTCTGAGCTGATAATAATCAGCTTATCCTTAACTACCTATAAAAGACTGAAATTAAGTAACTGCTATTTTGTGGAAGGTTACTGTACAAGAAAAATGTGTAGTTATGTAAGCATTTAGAGCTCCCAGTAATAAATAGGTCTTGGTGATAAGAGATCTGGCCAATCTATTATAGTAGCAGGAGATTTTACTTTTTTATCTTAATATTCAGATACCACTCCATTCTCATAGGCTCTGGGCAGTTTGAGGTCATAGAAAGAATATACTTTTCAGAAAATGTCAATTAATGTTCCCAATCTGAGATCACACATTTTAAATAATAGTTTATAAAACTGAATATAATACTTAAATAATAATTTAAATAATAGTTAAGTACATTAATAATTGCAATAATAATATATAACTTTAGATTTAAATTCTGTTGTTCAGGTAAACTGTTCAGCAAAATGTCTATTATTTTATATACTGGATAAATATTATTCATTTTCACAGCATTCTAACTCCTACAATGAAATGAGACTGGCCAGCCAGGCATGTATGTTGTTGTTGTAGCATTACATGTCTATACTGCCTGTAGCCAAAACTCTCTGGGCAGTTCACAACATTTAAGTCACCCATCCAGGTTTCAACAAGGCAGGATCCTGTTTAGGTTCCAAGATTAGGCATTATCAGGTACTTCAGGCTATGTAACTGGCATTTATACAGGTATACCTATTATTTCTTGTGTCTCTGGAAAAATCAGTTGCCTCCTGAAAAAATGAAACAAAATAGGCTAAGCTCTGCATCTTCCCACTCTTATTTCTCATAAAGATTCTCCTATAAGAATCATATTTCTTGATACATACTTTCTTCCAGTATAGAAAATATGTCACAGTGGGCTCAAATCTTTCTTCTTATCTGTGTGCTCAGTTGCTGACAAGGCTGCCTACCTCATGAACCTCAATTCAGCAGATTTGCTGAAAGCTCTGTGCTACCCCCGAGTCAAGGTCGGCAACGAGTACGTCACCAAAGGCCAAACTGTCCAGCAGGTAATGAGCTGCAGTACACGGTTTCCTGTGAGAATAACTGTTGCTCCACTGGTACACCAACTGCAGTCCCTCTCCTTCTATTTATGTAGGTGTACAATAACGTTGGTGCTCTGGCCAAGGCTGTCTTTGAAAAGATGTTCTTGTGGATGGTCATTCGTATCAACCAGCAGCTGGATACCAAGCAGCCCAGGCAGCACTTCATAGGAGTGTTGGACATTGCTGGCTTCGAGATCTTTGATGTAAGGAAACAAAGTCAGTGTGGGAAAGGAGAAGTGTAGATTCTAAAACTCCTTAGCGATTCAGGACTCTCCCTCAGTAATGCTCAGAATGTAAAGGCACTGAAGGAATGAGATTGTTTCAAGCGGTTGACTGGAGCAATGACTGACATAGAACTATCTGGCACAGATAGGAAATTGCATTGTAGAAATGATTTGGCATGAAGAGTGTGGCTCATAAATCCAAGGCACGTCTGGGGCAGAGTATGAGCACTGAAAGCTCAGAGAGCTACATATGCAAAATGTATGAAACTACCTTTGGGCTCAATAATGGAAAATCATGAGCATGCTTTTGCCTGAAAGGACTCAGAATAACTGCCCAGAAGAAGCTTGCGTTTAATATTTACACAAACTTTAGCAGAAGGGTTTTAATATTAAGTATTAGGACACTAGGATTATGAACAATGTCAAGCATTATGGTCTTTTAAAACACATCTCTTTACATTGTCTAGTTCAACAGCTTGGAGCAGCTTTGCATCAACTTCACCAATGAGAAACTGCAACAGTTTTTCAACCACCACATGTTCGTGCTGGAGCAGGAGGAGTACAAGAAGGAGGGAATTGAATGGGAGTTCATTGACTTTGGGATGGACCTGGCTGCCTGCATTGAACTCATTGAGAAGGTCTCTTTAAAAAAATCTTTTATTTGTATGGAACTGCAAACAGTAATTGATTTAGGGATGCACTTGGGGTCATCTTTAATTCCAAAAAATGAATCCTATAATAACGATCCCATTCTCTCTGTTTCTGTCTCTGTCTCTGTCTCACCTAAGTAAATGTACAGCTGCAAAGCTATGGCACTCATGTTCTGAAAATTAGTGGAATTAAAATTAAAAGTTCAATTTTACAAACTAAGTAGTAATTCGATTACTCTAACTTATAAATCCTATATGTGCCCACTTTTATTGTCCCCTCCAGCCCATGGGCATTTTCTCCATCCTGGAAGAAGAATGCATGTTCCCCAAGGCAACAGACACTTCTTTCAGGAACAAGCTCTACGACCAGCACCTTGGCAAGTGCAAGAACTTTGAAAAGCCCAAGCCTGGCAAAGGGAAAGCAGAGGCCCACTTCTCCCTGGTGCACTATGCTGGCACTGTGGACTACAACATCTCTGGCTGGCTGGAGAAGAATAAGGACCCCTTGAATGAGACTGTCATTCAGCTCTACCAGAAGTCGTCCATGAAGACCCTTGCATTGCTCTTTGCTGATCGCCCTGCTGATGCTGGTAACTGATCCCTAGCCTAGTTAAGAACTTAAATAGATCCAAGTAAATGGTTCCTTTAGATTCAGATTATATACATGTTAAATTGCATCTATTTATTTAATATATTCTCTCTCATTTAGAGGGTGGTGGTGCCAAGAAAGGTGGCAAGAAGAAGGGTTCCTCTTTCCAGACTGTGTCTGCTCTTTTTAGGGTATGTACATTTTTTTTGTTATAAAATGGTTTTTTTAAAAAAAAGCCATCTGTCATTATATAGATTATATCAGATGTCAAAACAAATTGAGGAAAAATCTAAAAACAGTGTCAGAATGATCAGCTCGTCCAAAAAAATCTGTCTTTAAAAAAAAAGTCCAGGAGATTTATTATCAAAAGAAAAGATATGTATGAATTAACAAAGTCTGAGCTTTCTTTCTGGTTTTCTGATCAGTGATTCCCATGCCATGAGTAGCCTGTCACTTAGTTTACAAACTTCAGTTTGAGAGTAATGTGAATTAATCTTCTGCAACATGTGGATGTCACAAATGCTTCTCGTTCCACAGGAGAATTTAAACAAGCTGATGTCCAATCTGAGGAGCACACACCCACATTTTGTGCGCTGCCTCATCCCCAATGAAACTAAAACCCCTGGTAAGACGTTCTAATTTACTCTAATCAAGAGAGAGCCATGATGCAGCATTTGCCTTCTGAGTTCTAGCCCATAATGCTTATCACACTCTCATGTTTTCTAAGGGGCCATGGAACATGAGCTTGTATTGCACCAGCTGAGGTGCAATGGTGTCCTGGAAGGTATCCGAATTTGCAGAAAGGGCTTCCCTAGCAGGATCATTTATGGTGACTTCAAACAGAGGTCTGTGTTTTACTATTATGCTTCTCAGTTTTTATAGATATGCATGTCTGTGTTCAAAATTACACAGTGAAACCTTAAGTATGGTTACTCAGAAGTAGGTCCCACAAAGAACTGTCTTTATTAGACCTTAGCAAGTTTATTTGGAATTGCAGTCTTTTGTTATGTTCGATTTCATTTTAAAATCTTTTAAAAAACCCATTAGGGAGTCAACTAATGGGAGAATAGTGCTATGTTAATTTTAAATGTGGTATGTACATGTAAAAGATATACTGGGGACTGTACAGTAGTTCATCCACTACACACCTGTATGCCATGACAGATTTTCTGAGAAACATAGAAACAGGAAAACAGAGTGAATCAGAAGGGGTTTCCTGGGCCATCTAGTCTGACCCCCCTGGCTCCAGCTGGCTCCTTCTACTGCATCAATTTGTAGCAGAACAAGAACAGGAGGAATAGAAAAGATCAGGGATGGGAAAGATGTGACTCTTCAGATGCACTCCCATTATCCTTCACCATTGACTATGCTGGCTGGATCTGGTGAGAAATGTAATCAAACAACATCTGGAGGGCCACACATTTATCACTTAGATAAAGTAGCTGAAATAAGACATTGTTACTAATGGATCTATTAGCAAACATAACATCGTATTCATTAGGAGCTCTCCAGACATGAAGAGAGCCGTTCCATAGCTGAAACAGATTTCACCCCCTGCCCTTTGCTTATAATGATAACAATTAGGGAAGTGAGTAACATTTGTTATATTGCTTTAGCAAAATAAATGCTGTTTTCTTTTCTTAACAGATACAGAGTATTAAATGCTAGTGCCATCCCAGAGGGACAGTTCATTGACAGCAAGAAGGCTTCTGAGAAGCTTCTTGGATCCATTGATGTTGACCACACCCAGTATAAATTTGGCCACACCAAGGTAAAATTATGCAGCTCTACCACAAGAATATAACATTTGGATTTGCTTTGACAGTGACCAAATCCTTGTAATATTTTCATTGTAGGTGTTCTTCAAAGCTGGCCTTTTGGGACTTCTAGAGGAGATGAGAGATGATAAGCTGGCTCAGCTGATTACACGAACCCAAGCCATGTGCCGTGGCTTCCTAATGAGAGTGGAATTCAAGAAAATGATGGAAAGGAGGTAGTGTTTTGCAATCATGATCACACTGACCAAATTAGCCCATATGCTCTGCACATCAGTGGCAATGGATTCAGGCACCAACTCAAAATGAGGAAATTCTGTACTCATTCTTAAGTTTTAATTTGTCTCTTTCACAGAGAGTCCATTTTCACTATTCAATACAATATCCGTTCATTCATGAATGTGAAGACCTGGTCTTGGATGAAGTTGTACTTCAAGATCAAGCCCCTGCTAAAGAGTGCTGAGTCAGAGAAGGAGATGGCCACCATGAAAGAAGAGTTTGAGAAGACAAAGGAAGAGCTGGCTAAGACAGAGGCCAAACTCAAGGAACTTGAAGAAAAAATGGTGTCTCTGACACAAGAGAAGAATGACTTGCAGCTCCAAGTCCAGTCTGTAAGCCTCTTTTGTGACATTAAACCCTTTTGACTGATATAGATTGAATAGGAGGCAAAAGTGCAGAACATTCTTCACTGAAAATGTTTGGGGCTAATTAGCCCTTTAAAAAACATGTCACAAATAATAAATACAAATGGGAAGCCCCAAGGAAGTGCAAGGAAGGGACAAAAAGAAAAAGAAACATCCTTTGCCCCATTCCTTCCATTTTGATTAATTATTTTCACTCCACTTTTCTATCCCCTAAAACTCCATGACTTCTTAGGCTCCTACATTGTCTCCATCTTTCCCCTCCTTCCAGCCCTAGCACAAGCCACTTCCATTTTCTCTCCATCTTCCTGACATTCAACTTCTACTTACTTACTTTCCTCCTGCCGCTTGCACACTTGTGCCCTTATTCATCTCCCCCCTCCCCCATTTCACAGCCAGTCAGTGAAGTCTGAACCTCTTAATGTCAGAAGCTGGGTGTTCCAATACACAGGTTTTATTTCTTCCTGTAAGATTTTATGGCAACCAGTCACTTGCATGGGAAAAGCAAAGGGATACAACAGTGAAAGGAATTAAAACCTTTAAAAAAAAGATTCTGTCTTCAGTGTCCAGAGACTAAAACAAAGACAGCAGTCTGTATGTTTTATCAAGGGAACTCAACAGGAGGCTAAGAACTGAACCTGTCCCTTTTCTCCATTCCACAAGGAATCCTCCTTTCAACAGGGAATTGAGTCTCAGAAAGAAAAACACATGCATCTCAGGAAGGCCCCCAAAGTTGTTCTCTTCAGCAGCATCACCACTTTCCCACTGGGTATGCCAGATTACAAGTCCAGGGTGCCCCTAGATGAAGGGATCCTAGCACTAGTGATGAATAGGCAATATGCAACTGATTATTTTTTCTCCTTAATGGATTTTCTGCATAAAGGTAAAAGACAAAAGAAACAGTAAGAAAATATGAGAGGGGCACAAGAAGACAGTAAGCTTTTGAACTCCTGTAAATGTCCATCAGTGAGTCAGGGTGACAGAACCATAAAGGTCTTATCCAAGAACACTCCAAATCTAATCTCTAGTGGAAAAAGGTGCTTTGCCACAATCGGCAAGCATCTGGAGCTGCTGTCACTTTCTTTGTCTTCTCCTTGCCTGTGTAAATTCTCAAAATCCTTGGCTTTCAGAAAAGCATGGTGTTAGGAGGGGTTGTTTCACAATTGTTTAGCTGAATGTTCATAAGGGATCCATCTCCTTTGGTGTGAGGAGAGGGATGCTTAGCCATCACTACCTAGAAGACCAAGCTGCAGCTGCATGCTACTCTCTGCTACATGACATCCTTCTTGCTCACAGCTGATGCTTTCAGTTTTTTGTATGAGTCTGTACACATCTCCTCGGATCCCTTGTGGAGAAAAATTATCTTACCGTTGCTGTGCGATGTATGTCCTTACTGAAAACCTGTGTCTTCAACTAATGTAGATAAGCTTGAAAAGCAAAAAGTTTTCCTAAAATGCATTCTATTCATAGGAAGCTGATGGCTTGGCAGATGCTGAGGAGAGATGCGACCAGCTGATCAAAACCAAAATCCAGCTGGAAGCTAAGATTAAGGAGCTGACTGAACGGGCAGAGGATGAAGAGGAAATGAACGCTGAGCTGACAGCCAAGAAGCGGAAACTGGAGGATGAATGCTCAGAACTCAAGAAAGACATCGACGATCTTGAGTTAACACTGGCCAAGGTGGAGAAGGAGAAGCATGCCACAGAAAACAAGGTATGGATTCCAATATGGATTCAAAATGGCAACAAAGTCACAAGCTTACATTGACCGTGCACACCATGACATGTTCAATTCAACTGTCCACTTCTAAAAGGTGAAAAACCTCACTGAAGAGATGGCCGTCTTGGATGAGACCATTGCCAAACTGACCAAGGAAAAGAAAGCCCTCCAAGAGGCCCATCAGCAGACCTTGGATGACCTGCAGGCAGAGGAGGACAAAGTGAATACTCTGACCAAAGCCAAGACCAAGCTGGAGCAGCAAGTGGATGATGTAAGCCCAACTACGCAGAGAAAAACCTGGTAGCACCACAGAGCATGAGAGTGGCAGGGTGTTTATGATCTCTCTCTCTTCAGCTTGAGGGCTCTCTGGAGCAAGAAAAAAAGATCCGCATGGACCTTGAAAGGGCCAAGAGGAAGCTTGAAGGAGATCTGAAGTTGGCCCAGGAATCCACAATGGATCTGGAAAATGATAAGCAGCAACTGGATGAAAAACTAAAGAAGTAAGTAAGGCCTGTTATGGAATTCTGCAGGAAGTCATTTGTACCACAAAGCATTTGACCTGGATGCTAACGCACTTTGCTTTGTTGTGAATAGGAAAGACTTTGAAATCAGCCAGCTCCAGAGCAAAATTGAAGATGAGCAGGCCTTGGGCTCCCAGCTTCAGAAGAAGATCAAGGAGTTACAGGCAAGTCAAGCACACCTTGGCTCTGTCACTTCTGGGAGGGTTCATTAATTTGGAAAAACATTTGAGGGGTTAATATTGCTTCTGTTTTTCTAGGCCCGTATTGAGGAACTGGAGGAAGAGATTGAGGCTGAGCGGGCATCTCGGGCCAAAGCAGAGAAGCAGCGCGGAGATCTCTCCAGGGAACTTGAGGAGATCAGTGAGCGTCTGGAGGAAGCCGGTGGGGCAACAGCGGCTCAGATCGAGATGAACAAAAAACGTGAAGCGGAATTCCAGAAAATGCGCCGGGACCTTGAAGAGGCCACTCTGCAGCATGAAGCGACCGCAGCTGCGCTCCGCAAGAAGCACGCGGACAGCGCGGCTGAACTTGGGGAACAAATTGACAACCTGCAGCGAGTCAAGCAGAAGCTGGAGAAGGAGAAGAGTGAGCTGAAGATGGAGATTGATGACCTCGCTAGCAACATGGAATCTGTCTCTAAAGCGAAGGTATGCTACAACAGTTCATATAGTTTTTTAGTGTTGTTACCATACAGGAGCACATAATACCAATTAAGTTTAGTTATATAAGACTTAAGCAAGCAGGTTATGGAAACAGCTATGCATATGTTTAGGTCAATTTGAGCCCATATAAAATGCATGGTGTGCTGGGTAGCATGTTTGTTGTATAAGCAGGATATGAAGATTTAAACTGGTTTTTAAAGCTGTGTACGAAATGGTTTACCTATACCTTGAAGTTGTAAATGTGCATACAGCAAACAGTTCATGCTGATCATTGAAACATAAGTACCAAAATGCTACAGTTGCGGCAGTTTCATGCTATGCAGCAAGTAGCAGCATGCATTCTGTTTCTGCTTCATAACATGCAGTGGCCTAAATAGAAAGTGTGGCAATGCCCCTACAATGCAGCCCAGTTCCTAAGAAGGTTAATTTAGTCCCTCGTTCCTGGAGGGCAGTGAAGGCATTTCTTTTGCTCAGCATTTGTTGGGTTTTAGGGGCTGACAGCTGGCCTATTATTTTGGAGCATTTTCATGCTCTGTTGTAAAATTTTGTTGCCTTTCATATTGTTTTCATATTTGTTTTGTAAACTATTTCAAAGGACTTATAACCAAAAGATGTAACTACATTTCCCTACCCACTTCCTGATGCTTCCTTTTCACCTTCTGTTCCTTTATTACTCCAGAGTGATATTGCTAGAGTATGACAAAAAGCCATGGTATTAAGAAGTGGATAGTATAATTGTGTCTTTCCATTAACAGAAGCAATTACCTCTCACCCTTTAAAAACGCCCTCAAAATCTGTTCCACAGTGCAGGAAAAACCTGCTGAGAGCAGTCCAGTGCTGAATGGAAGACATTAGCACATTGTTCAATTTTTTGGGCAAGCTTTCTTGCCCTAATAAGTTAATGTGTATGTGAAAATAAATACATTCAAATAATTCAGGAGCACACATTCAAATTCTCTCCTTTTGGAAATTTCACATCTAGGCAAATCTTGAGAAGATAAGCCGCACTTTAGAAGACCAGCTCAGTGAGGTGAAAGCAAAGGAGGAAGAGCACATACGCACTATCAATGACTTGAATGCTCAAAGAGCTCGTCTGCAGACAGAAGCAGGTGAGATACTTAATAAAATACTTAATATAGAAATATTTGGTACCCTGCCATCATTGAAATTATGACGTGCTTGCTGTATTGGTATGATTTAATGAGGGTTGTTTCCAGATCAGGCAATCACCCTATTGCGTTCACAGCATTTTATAGGGATGAGATTGTCTTCCTCTCATGCCCCTACTGTGTTTTTCCTTTAACTTTATTCTTCTGATTTATGCAAACTGCTTGTGTTTTAGAAGTTTATGAGAAACCAAGAGTCACTCCTGGACAAGTCAGTGATGCTAAGGATAGTTGAAGGCAGAAAAAGCAATCCAACAGAAGATCCAATTATGAGAGGGATCAATTTCAGAAATGAAGCTACAGCCTTGAGTTGACAAGAACAGAGCAGGGCTGTCAAGGGAAGGACATTCTGGACAACGTTCATTCATAGGGTTGCTGTAAGCTGGAGACAACAGCATACAAGAACAGCAACAGACCCCAACCAGTTCAATAGGACTTGCTATCAATTAAGTGTGCATTAGTGACTACTATAGTATTTATGATTGCTAGGAAAAATATTTTAAAAATGAAGAGCAATTTTAAGTTAAATCAATTAAATTGATTTTCTCTTCATTAGGTGAATTATCACGCCAAGTAGAGGAAAAAGATGCATTGATTTCTCAACTCACAAGAGGCAAACAAGCCTTTACTCAGCAGATTGAGGAACTGAAGAGGCAACTTGAGGAAGAGATCAAGGTGTGGATTATGTCCAACATACTTGCATAGATGGAAACATTCTTTTTCTTTGCTTTTTTTGATTGCCCTGTAAAATTTAATCTTATGTGAACTAACTAGTCTGTAGATCATTTAAACAGTTTGTGCCAGCTGGATTATTGCTTTAAAAAGCACAGAATGTCTTTATTCTATGCAGTTAGAGGCGTCTCTTCCATTATTTTTATTGATGAAGCACTGAGGATGTCCAGGAAAGATCTCTAGATAGCTAGCTATGGTGGTTTCTCTAATCTTTGATTCTGTCATTCTAAAGAATAAGCAACAACATGCATGTTTAGACAGGAAATAACCCCTTATAACTCCCAGCCAGTTCTGTTGGTTGGACCATGCCGGAAACTGCACACCTTTTCCCCCTTTGTACCTTAAACATCTACATATCTTTACCTAACAGAAGATAATAAAAGAAATCACACATTGCCCTGAAATTAAACTAGCACTTTGTATCTGACAAAGTGGACTTTCTACCACAAAACTTCATGACTCAATATATAAGCCTATGTCTCCCTTCAACAATATTCTCCTGGAAGTTAGTAACAAACAATTTTAAAGTAGAAATACAATAAAAACACAATGAAACATATAAAACAGTAGAACAGCAGGCTAAAAGATGGAAAGGCAATTCAGTATTTCCCCACAACAGATACAGTTACCAAGTTTAAAGTAATCACTAATACATTTCTCCCTTATTTCAGGCCAAGAATGCACTGGCCCATGGCTTGCAATCTGCTCGCCATGACTGTGACCTCCTTCGAGAACAATATGAAGAGGAGCAGGAAGCCAAGGGTGAGCTCCAGCGCGCCCTGTCCAAGGCCAACAGCGAAGTGGCTCAGTGGAGGACCAAATATGAGACTGATGCCATCCAGCGCACAGAAGAACTAGAAGAGGCCAAGTATGTGGGGACTGGGATGGGGTTAATAGAGATCTTGAATACATGAATGAGGACAAGAAACTTATACAGAGCAGATATTGTTACCTTTGGGGACACTCCTGCCCAGCAATCCTTGATACATCTTGGATTTCTTCACTGTTTTCCATGGGCAGCCAGGGAAATTTAAAAATTGCTTCTCTGGGTGAAGAAGGTAAGGGTATATCCAAACAATGAAACAAGTCCCCTTTTCTGTTGTATAGTTAAGCACTTCTTTACCTTTCTGCTCTTGCTTGCTTCCCCTGGAGAAAGAGAGTGAACGAGAAATATGAAGCAAAGGGGAGTAAAGGAAGAGATGCCCCAGATATAACTGCCCTCCTTTCACCATTTTTGTGCACTTTAGTTTTTCTCTAGCTGGTTCCTCTTCTGCCAGCTGACCAGTGGGGTTTCAAGGCCTACTGCACTGCCGTGGACAGACCAATTGCCCCCCAAATTTCCATAGGTGCACAGTTCTTACTGGGCTGCCTTTAGGGCTATTCTCACCCTGAAGGGAATTGATTTTTCCTCTAGACATTTGTGTTTACACAGCACAAGGCATTCTCCAAAGCCTGCTGATTCCTCCTTCTAATTCCAAAGATCAGTACTCACCTCTAAGCTGTGCAAATTGGATAATCAAGATTACAGAGAACTATTAAAATGGTGTAGTTTTCTAACAGTTTGCAACACAACTAACCCAGAACAACCTCTTTGATGGGGAAAATATGATGCAGTTAATATTTGTCGCATATATGGCATTTCCCATTTTTGTAAGCATTATGTTCAGAATGCTATGTACTGCATAATCAATGTTAGTAAAACATCACTTTTATCAACCGGTTCCATGACCTTTTAAAACTTCGAACAATAATGCCTTTTGGGGGTGCTATTAAACATGAATATAAACATGATACCAGTATTATTTTACACCACATCACTTCACATCATCAAGTCACATCAAATTCAAACAATACTTTTTAATGGAAGCAGTTTGTACATGCCACAGTGAGTCATCTAATGTGCAGAAAGCAAAGTGTGGTTGTGAATTGGACAGAACTGGAGACCAGCATTGAAAATCTAGCAATTCCTAATAATTTGTCCTTTTAGAATCATTCCCAATTGAAAACAGCAGTTCTTGAAGGTTCACCACCTATATTGCCTGTGTACCAAATTTTAGCACCCATGAGCCAGTGGTTCCTTAGTAGCACAGCTGGCTTTCTCTGCACAAAAGGGATTAGGGGAAAAAGAATCCCAAGAAACATTTCTGTCAATTGATATGCAACTTGGTCATTTTAGAGATACTAAATGGTTAACTTGAAACATCCTATCTGGGTCTACTCAAAAGTAATTCCTATTGCATTTAATGGGACTTATTCCAAGCATAATACCAGGGAGAAGGAAGGCCTTTAACTCCCAGTGCTGGCCTTTTTCCTCCCTCTGCTTGCACAGGATTTCTCCCGAAGGGTCCTTTTTATTTTGTCAGTGTATCACATCAACAAGAATAAACCATAGGATAACTGAAGGACAAAATCTGTCATGCTTAGGATACAGTAATGATATTACTTCTTTCCAAGTTTCCAAAGCAGATTCATGCTGTAGCTTTCAAATATTTTTTATGTTCCGCTAGGAAAAAGCTTGCCCAGCGTCTGCAGGATGCTGAAGAACATGTAGAGGCTGTGAATTCCAAGTGTGCTTCCCTTGAGAAGACAAAGCAGAGGTTGCAGAATGAGGTGGAGGACCTGATGATAGATGTGGAAAGGTCCAATGCAGCCTGCGCAGCCCTAGATAAGAAGCAGAAGAACTTTGATAAGGTATGTTCTGCCATCATGCACAGCAATCGAGCATATGGTGCTCACTAGGGATCACTGCTTATCTCTTGATGGTGTTTTACAGATCCTGGCAGAGTGGAAACAAAAATATGAGGAAACACAGTCTGAATTGGAAGCTTCCCAGAAGGAGTCCCGCTCTCTCAGCACAGAGCTCTTTAAGATGAAGAATGCCTATGAGGAATCCTTGGATCACCTCGAAACGCTGAAGCGTGAGAACAAGAACCTCCAGCGTAAGTCCATAAATCCTTTTTGCAATAGATGCCCCCAAATGTTAATGTGCTACTTGGCTGAATTGTTTAGATGCTAGTCTGGCCCATTATGTTGATTGAGAAGCAGTAGCAAATGGCACCTTGTCCCAAGCCTGGTCAAGCTATTTTGGCACATGAGGAGGGAAAAAAAAATCATACAAGTGCCCCTTCCCTGTGTTGAAAGTAGCAACAAATCATTTGTTGCCTTCTCATGATGACAACAGAAATCAGCTGCCTGATGCAGCTGCCTTACTCTCACAAACTGCAGAGCCATGCCTGTATCCTCATGTAGTTCCTTTTTCAAGTTTATAAGGCTTCACCTTTGTAAGACTGTTGCAAAATGCAAGATCAGCAGCATCATCACTTATTTTTTCTATATTGTTATAAATGCTTATATTTATTGATACATACTTCTAATCTTTCTTGATAAGATTTTGCACAGGAAAAAAAAAACAGCCCCACTTGAAGGCTGATAATAAAAAACAACAGTAGTGTGTTAACTGGCTTTCTCCTCTCAATCAAGGAAGCTGTAGCAGTGATGTGAAAAAGCAGCTGGTTGCAATGGTAGTGAGAAGGCTGACTCACTGAAAGAGGGAGATCATTGGGGATGTCTTGCCCAAGAATCCATAAAATCAAGGATATTTCCCATCCCATCCTAATTCTGGTTGCTTTGACATAAACGCCATCTTCTCTCTCTCTCTCTCTCTCTCTCTCTCTCTCTCTCTCTCTCTCTCTTCCCTTCTTTTTATTTCATGTGAAACCAACAGAGGAGATTGGTGACCTCACAGAACAGATTGCTGAAGGAGGAAAGGCCATCCATGAACTTGAGAAAGTGAAGAAGCAGATTGAGCAGGAGAAATCTGAACTCCAGGCTTCCCTTGAGGAGGCTGAGGTAATCATGAAACAAGAAAAACCTTTCTGACTTGTTACACACTTAACTAATTCAATAGGAACTGAACAGTGAAATGGAGGTAAGAAAAGAAGAATCCTGCAGAATTAGACCAAAGGTTCACTTAGTCAAGCAACCGGTATGCAAGGCATGAAGAGAAAAGTGCTCTCTCCCATTGTTACGCTCCAACAGCTGATACTCAGAGACATAGCAAGCATGTTTTGAACAACAAGACAACCAACCATGGCTTAATTTACCCATGGGGCTGTTGTGTGTCAATATCTGGAACTGGCAGGCACCTGGCTTGCTGTGGCTTATTCTGTCCTTCATGAGTTGTTTGAGGGCTAGACAGCATTCCAATAATCCTAAAATAAACAATGCGCTGAGGATAGTTTAACCTTCGACCACCACCTGGGTTTATATGACACTCCAAGTGCCATGCAAAGAAGTCACTCATCCCTGGCACAAAGCGACAGTCACTGCGGGCAACTTAAGCCACAATGGGCTGTGTGTCATGTTAACCAGGTCACTGTGACTATATCTGCCAAATTCATTTAGCTCTTATAACAAATAGTCATTACTAGAATAATAATCCATGAATTTTTTATTCTGCACTAAAAGCCAGTTAACCCCATGATTCTTACCATATCACAGAGGAGCAAATTCCATATATTAGGTCTGTCTTCTGTGAAAAGGTACTGCCAGTCTGCTGACAACATGAACCTGAATTTTCAGATTATGATGACAAACTTATCCCTGTCCATTTTTCTCCATGTGACACATAATTTTCTAAAGGGTCATCATGTAGTGCTACAACATCACCATTTATCAACTCTGGTTTTCAGGCCTCACTGGAACATGAAGAAGGCAAAATCCTCCGCATCCAACTTGAGCTCAACCAGGTGAAGGCTGACATTGACAGGAGGATTGCTGAGAAGGATGAGGAAATTGATCAGCTGAAGAGGAATCACCTGAGAGTGGTAGAGTCCATGCAGAGCACGCTGGACGCTGAGATCAGGAGCAGGAATGATGCCATAAGGCTTAAGAAGAAGATGGAGGGAGATCTGAATGAAATGGAAATCCAGCTGAGCCACGCCAACCGCCAAGCTGCTGAAGCACAGAAGAACCTCAGGAACACGCAAGGCCAGCTCAAGGTACATACGTATTTCTATATTCGGGAAACAGTTGCTTTCGTTATTGTGGAAAGAATTCTCTGACAAAAATATTGCAATGCCCCTTTTTAGGATACCCAAATACATTTGGATGACGCTTTGAGGAGCCAGGAAGATCTGAAGGAGCAGGTGGCCATGATTGAGCGCAGAGCCAACCTGATGCAGGCTGAGATTGAGGAGCTCCGGTCAGCCCTGGAGCAGACAGAGCGGGCCAGGAAAGTGGCTGAACAGGAGCTGCTGGATGCCAGTGAGCGGGTGCAACTCCTCCACACACAGGTGAGCTTTTGGCTTTCAGTGTGCTCAGAGAATCCCCAAAGTAGTAGGTGAGCTATGCAGGAACCCTTCTGCACATAAAACGGGAATGGAAAGAGGCTATGTCTGTGTGCAAGTGGCTATAGTATAATACCCATTCCTAAAACGTGTGAGAGTGTGTTTGTGCAGTGCTTTTTGTAATGGGATGGGCTACCCTTTGCACTCCCAAAATCCATAAATGGCACAATAGTGTCAAGATTCTCTGAAGGACCTCAGCAGTGAAGTTATCTTCATGCACCAGCAAAGCACTCTGAGGATGGCAGCACTAAATATAACATGCTAGTTCTTGGAGAGGTTTATGAAGTTTATGCTTACCAGTTAACCTCAAATCATTATGTTCATGCTGAAGATATGGCACCTTGGGGCTAATATGAACATCTCAATTGTATTATTTTTAAACAGAACACCAGCTTGATCAACACCAAGAAGAAGCTGGAAACAGACATTTCCCAAATCCAGAGTGAAATGGAGGAGACTATTCAAGAGGCACGCAATGCGGAGGAGAAGGCCAAGAAGGCCATCACTGATGTGAGTTCGAGTTTTGCTTTGAAATCTGTTCCTGTGTATGCTTGGTGTGGCTGGCTTCACGAGCTGGATTGCTATCTGTGTTAACAGGCTGCCATGATGGCAGAGGAACTGAAGAAGGAGCAGGACACCAGTGCTCACCTGGAGAGGATGAAGAAGAACCTGGAGCAGACGGTGAAGGACCTACAGCACCGTCTGGATGAGGCAGAGCAGCTGGCAATGAAGGGTGGCAAGAAGCAGCTCCAGAAACTGGAGCATAGGGTCTGTATCCCTCATCTCACCTTCAAAGATTTTGAGTGCAAAAGGTACAGCTGAGTGCTAATCCTCACTTTTTGTCTTCAGGTGCGTGAGCTGGAGGCTGAAGTTGAGAACGAGCAGAAGCGCAGTGCTGATGCGGTGAAGGGTGTGCGCAAATATGAGAGGCGGGTAAAGGAGCTGACCTACCAGGTAAGGGTGCTAAAGATTTGCTTTATAATACTGTGAAAGGAATTTTACTGAAATTATGGATCACTCATACTGAGAATAAGAGTCCTTCCCCAGGGGTTGAATATCGTTTTATGCAGCTGCAAGTATTTCTGGTATGGGAAATTTTGTGATCCAAATGGTGCAAACCATAAAAAGTGTTCCCTTTATTTTCTCCCTTCTCTGTCACAACTCAAACACCAGCTCCCTGCCAAACAAGGTTGAACATGCCACCACCATTTCCATGCCATGATAACCCAAGTTCCACCCACCCAAGATTTTCACCAATCTGGCCAAAAGCACTAATGGTTGTTCTTTGTTGCCTTTCATCTAGTGCCTAGCCTCTGGAATCCATGAAGCTTCCTTCATCATATTGTTCTAGCCTGTTTATTCATCCTTTCATTTTTTTTAACAAAGTCTTTTGAAAAAAATCAAGCTGGGGAATAGGTTCTCAGTGAGGGAAACTGACTTTCTTCCCTCATTGTTCTACCTTTGTTCAGTCTGAGGAAGACCGGAAGAACGTGCTGAGGCTTCAGGACCTGGTGGACAAACTGCAAGTGAAAGTGAAAGCATACAAGCGACAATCTGAGGAAGCTGTGAGTATCGCACTAAAATGCAGCAATGGCAACATCTCCAATGAATTTGATGAAATATAATCTAGAATTTGATTAACAAGCTTAACAAGCTTAAGCAAAACATAGAACTAAACAGAATTTACTTATAATTTCCCAGCACTGAGTTGCTTTTTTGAGAATTTATGAAGATTTTTTAAACTGAATTTCCTTAATTTGAGAAATGGGTAACAGAGACTCAGTACCTTTATCTCCACTGCAGCACCCATAACATATTACTTTGTCATATCTCAAATAAGACAGAAAATAACTTTTTATATTTTGTTTTTCATTCTCAGGAGGAACAATCCAATATCAACCTCTCCAAGTTCCGCAAGATTCAGCATGAGCTGGAAGAAGCTGAAGAAAGGGCTGACATTGCAGAGTCACAGGTCAACAAATTGCGGGTGAAATCCCGTGATGCTGGAAAGCAGGTCAAAAGTGAAGAATAAACTTTCCTATATGCTTCAAGGTGACTGAAGAAACACACAAAATGTGAAGTTCTTTATCACTTTGATTTGTAATTATTGTTTATTCTGTTCTCTGTGCCTAGGAAATAAAGATTGTAGAAACCTTTGCATACATAAAAATGCCAGCTGTTCCTCGCCTTGTTTCCAAAATGGTAAATAAGAGTAAGACTGCAATCCTGTACATACACACCTGGGAGGAAGTCCCACTGAATTCCTTTTGAGTAGAGATATAGAATGTTTGTCTCTTTTGGAAGTTCTAGTTAGCATTCATGTATGGCTATTCCTTTTGTGCCTCAGATAACCTTAATATATCACATGGTTTTCAGATCTTCAGAATGAAAAGAGCTCCACTGGATCATATTAGAGGAGTATCTAATCCAATATTCTGTACTCTAAAGAAGCTAGCCAAATCTCCAGTGGAAAACCCCCAAGCAGAATGGCAATCGTGCCCTCTACCATTTGGCCCTCACAATTGGAAATTGTGAATTGGAAATTTATGAATTAGTATACAGTGTTTATATCGAATCTTTCTGGCCAAAACACTCCTAAAGTGGCTTACACAGTATTCTTAACTTTAAAAATAAACAAAACAACCCAGCTACAACTTAAAATTGCAGTTTAAAGTGTAAGTTTCTATTCATGTATTTGTTTCATCAATTTATTGGGTATTTTTAAAATACCCAATAACCAAAGCTCTATAACATATCTATAAAATATCAGAGAACAAGACTTTTGGGAGATAAAAGAGATTTCTTTTAATTATGCATAGTACAAGATAATATCTTGCTTGCCACTTTACATATTTCTGCCTGGAGTTGTCAACAACAGAACAATTTTATCATTGGACTCTGGGTGAGACGTCTGTCAGGGGAAAGTGATGGGGCTGGCACCCACATGGCAGGGCCCAAGCAGCTAGGATTAGAGTCCAGCAGTAAACTGTTACAGTCCTCAGAAAAGTCTCTGTCGTCTAAAGTTTACAACTACAACAACAAATTCAAGATACTTATAAGACACACTCATCAAGAGATGCATCTAGATATTACACCAGGTCAATATGAATCATTCTTACATAATCCGGACTCCAACAGTGTACAAAACAAGAGTTCAAATGTGTAAGCAGGTGCATCCAACTCACACATGTATGCACCATATTATTCATTTATTTAAAACTTTTCTATACCATCCTCTTGCCAAGAGTCTCAGGATGGTCTAGAGTCTCAGGACAGTAACTATTTAGAAATCACTCCAGAAAACATTAATCTATTTTACACACATTATCTGGTCAAGGAATCGAGCATCATGAAGCCTCTCATGCCTGCACACATGCTGTGCTTCACCCCTCCTGTACAGATACAGCATCTCATATACTTGCTTATATACAGACAAGAATCATTCTCTCTCTTTCATACACATACACGTGCATGTCCCACTATCCTGGCTCCTGGTCACTGCACTGGACTCTATTATCATGGATATACAAGGAAAATTAGGAAGCGTGTGTTGAAATTACTCCTGCTGAATCAGATTCATACACTGTTTGACCCATGCTGTAACCTTTCACATAGAAGGCCACCACACATCTAATCTCAGCCTTTATGACTATCATGGTTAAGTAGCACAATCTTAAGGGGGTGGTGACAGGGGCAAGAGATCTCATAGCAGAACTCCTCCCAAGCCCTCCAGGTCATGCTGGCCAGGACAAGTGGTACATGTGGGGCAAACAGCCAGCCTAGTGGTGAGAAAATCTGCCCAGAATTTGGCTTCCTTGCATTTGCTGGACTCTTTCCTGTGCTTGGCCCTGGCCAAGGAGGGAAGCCAAGCCTGGAACGAATCCACTCACGAACACTAGCACCATTGCTATCAACTGCCCAGAGAACTTTGGCTATGGAGCAGTATAGAAATGAAATAAGCAACCATACCAATACACCAGCTGCAGCATAGCTTTCCCCAGTGGGACTGGGGAGGCATCCAGGCAGGCAGGGCTGGCACTGAGGACAAACCCACATCTCAACAAGAGCCCAATGACAAGAGCTGCTGGAGTTGTTCCTGCCCTTCACCATTGCAACCTGCTCACTCACCTCTTGTTGTGGTTCTGGCAATGCTGATGGTGGTGCAAAGGAGATTCCACTATCTACCTGCTCACAGCAGCTGGTGATAGTGGTGTGAAAAAGCAGACATGTCCCATTAGAGTTTTCTTGTCCAAGGGCCCACAAAATCCTAGAACCAAACACTGCCTCTATCTGTGGAGTTTCCTCTGTGCCCACATAGCAACCAATTCCCCTTAGCTGCCTTCCCCAGGAATTTAAGATTGTCCTGTATGTGCTTAAAAGAAAACTAACTTGCCCATCTGTATCATTCAGATCACTCTGTTAGGGTCAAGCCAAACAGTACATTAATTACCTACTGGGCGAGCTGACATTTCTTACTTCAAAGTAACCATGTAGGACTCCAGTCTGAATTGGGTGCAATCAGGAGAGGGTTAAGTTAAACCTTCTCTCCAGTCATCTGTCTTCCAATATTCATCTGCCCTCTGCCTCCACAGGGCAGGAGATCAAAGAGAAAAAGGGAGGAAAGGGTTCACTGGAAAGATTTGAAAAACAAATGGCTGGAAGAAAGAAATTTAAAACTTCCATTATCTGGCAGGCAGTGGTCCTGATTTGCCTGATTTTGTTCAGGAGCCAGCATGTCTACTTCAGAATAAGCAAACAGGCTGGGTGCATGTTCCAGCTTTGAGGTATGGTGTCGCCTGACCCTCATCAGAAGAAACAGAAAAATGGTTCAGACAACATGGAAGTCAGCATGGCATTAGTTAACTAACAGTATTTTGAAGAGACAAGAAAGGAATGTTTCTAGGGTTCTGAAAGCTTAATATTATAATCACGACATATTTGACCCCACAGCAACACAACAAAATGCCTATTTAAATTTGCAATCAGTGCATGTTTAAATGGGCCTCAGTGGGAATTACTTCTGATTGGGCCTACACAGGATTGCTCTACCCACCCTATCCACATGCCTTTCTTCAGCCCCAGATGGAAAAGGGTTTCCCTTCCTAAAATCTCAGGCCACTTTGTTTACCATCACACACTCCTCTCTACTATTGGTTTACCATCACACACACTCCTCCCTACCATCAAAGCCCGCACCTCAGTGTGTATGTGTGTGCATGCGTGTGCGTACAAGTGTGAAGAGAAAACAAAAGGGCTGAGAAGAAATGAAAAAGAGCAAAGCTCGGGAGGGGAGAGAAATGGAAGATGACTGAGGCTCTACTGCAGGATGGAGAGAAACGGGTAGGTAAAGAGTTGGGAGGAAAGAAAGGCAAGAGGAAAGGCTGTAGGAGGGAAGCCACAACCAGGGTGAAATAGCCCAGTTGGGAGTTGAGACGGAGGGGCAAATAGCCTTGCAATGGGCTCAAGGGGAGAGAAAGAGCAAGGCTGGAAGCTGGGATGGGGAGAAACAGGGTGAGATAATGGAGTGTGGCGGTGGGAGAAAAAGCCTGGAGGCTTGGAATGGAAGCTGTGGGATAAAGGGGCAGTGGGGAGAAAGAGCAAGGCAAAGGCTGGGAAATGAGTGAAAAGGTGGCCTAGGGTGTGGAAGGGACAGCTGACACTATGGGGTGAGAGATGGTGGTGGTGGGCTGACTCAGGAGTGGGGTGCAGCAGTGGCCCAGTCTGTCTCAGACCACCTTGACTATAGTGTGCTGGGATCTTATTTCTGGGGAATGCAGCAGCGGTCTTGGGCATGGGCCAAGTTTGGTGTTGCTTTGAGGTCAGTTTGGGCGTTGTTGCGCCCCATCATTGTTATTTTATTGTTTTTGATATTGTTGTTTTACTTTGATATTGTTGGTATTTCATATTGTTTGTTTTATTGTTTAATTTTTGATATTATTTTTAATATATTGTTGTATTATCATTTTGACAATGTGGGATTGTATACTTTGATATTATTGACATTTGATATTTGACTGTTTTGCTATTTTGCTATTATTCTTTATATATTGTTATATATTTACATTTTTCTTTCTGATTCCTTGTGTTATGTATTTTAGATTTTTTGTATTCTGTGTATTTGTATACTGCACAGAGAGCCCTAATGGACTATGGGGCAGAGAGTGCAAAGGTGAAAAGCCTGTGAGCAGAAGGAAATCCAGTGTTCCTGGAAACTACTCTTCTTTTCTTTCTCCCTTCCAGACAAGCTGAATAGCAGCAGATTCAGGGGCAGGGAATGGCTGTCGAATCTTTGTCAGGGTTTTAGGGCATAGCACATTGAGGCCAGTGTGCTTCTGTGGGAACTCCTTGACTAAATTTTGCATGTTCTTCTCAGATACTCCCTTAGGAAACTTGTTTCTTCAGAAAAGAACAAAGTTCCTCATTGAATGCAATGCTTCTCACAGAATTTATTTAATATAGGATTTTGAGTTGAAAGGACTTTTTAAAATACATATTCTTCTTTAAGTTCTTAATTTTATTTATTTTTAATGCCACTACAGGCTTTAGAACCACCACAAACAGTGGTGACTTCCTTTATAGATAATGTGCCTACGTCCTGGTTAACACAAGAAACTTGTGGCTTGTTGAACTACGGGGACATGATCATTCATCTGTATGGAGCAACTGTGCCAGCCCACACATGTCTGCTGGCATTCCTGGAATCTCATCCCTCTCAGACCCTTTCTCCCACGGGAGCCAGCTGTTAGCCACTATGGCAGGATCCTGGTGTGGGTAGGGCAGACAGAAACAGGTTCCCTCTCCAACCCCGTAAGGCTCCTTGCAAATGCACTAGGCAAGTTTCAGTTTTATATGGAATATTGCACTGACATTGCTTCAAGGCAGAAAACAAGCCCAGGCAAAGCACACATGCACAGACCAATTTGTGTCAATAAAAATTAGAGTGGGAACTCAACAGAAAGCAGAGATCTGGCTTTCTCCCAGACCTTTCTGGACATGGATGGGACAGGATGACCTGAAAAAAATACTCAAGTGATAATGTTCTGGCCGATTTGGTAGGCACATGA